TGAGTTACAGGTCCTCTTCAGTCACCAGTATGGACGCAGGATGATGGCTCGTTCCAAGAGGTGGGTCAGCCTTTAGTCAATGAGTTCTGAGGGCACAGAGGTCTTGGACTCTGCTTGCATCTCTGGCAGCATCAGGTGTTACAGACTCTTTTTCTTTCCAGAGTCTTCTGGGAAGTCATGCATTCTTGACCGTATCCTACCTTCATTTCTATCATATCACTGGGATAATAGGAATAACTTCAGAGGATTGTTGTGAGAATTAAAGGAGTTAATATGTTATAAAGGGCTTAGAATGGCCTAGGACATGGTCAGGATATACATGTGTTAGGAATTAGTATTATTATCATCATTATTGTTTCCATTGGCATCTCAGACTATCTGTGTTAAATGGAATCAGAAGGCTGCCCTGTCCAACCTACCTCAAGTACAGGAACTTTCTTTATGGGATCCCTTAAAGCTTCCCACGCTTGTCTTCCCCTGTAATGTGGTCCTTTCTGGTTTCCCGTCAGCTCAATGTTAAAGAGCCTTTACTTCACACTGAGCTAAGATTTGCCTCCCTGTGATTCCTACCATTTATCTTCAGAGATGGGTCTTCTTTTCCTTTACTCATTGCTTTTAAAATAAGCAAGTATTATTTGACACTTCTCTGTACCATTTCTAGTGAGAGAAGAAAAAGTGATGCTGTTCCTGTCTTCAAGAATCCTACCTTTCCTTTGAAGAAATTTCCATTTACTTTTGTTGCCCATTGTTAAGAGACAACCCAGGTGATAAAACATTTTAAAATATCATATTTCAAAGTAGAGAAAAACTAATGAAGAATGAAGTCAGAGAAGGCTTCAGAGGAGGTATGTTAAAGGACAGGCATTTATTTATACATTTTCCTGTTTATTAATTCATTAGTTTATTTAAAAAAATATTTAAACCTTTATTGACAATCTACAATTGTCAATGCTCACAGCTGAGAGTCAGAGTTTTTACCAAGTAGTTAAGATGGCAGGGCAGGCAGTCCAAGGGGAGGAAATATCAAATACAAAGACAGAGGTCTTGGAGGTGGTTAGGGACTTGTAAGTTGCTCATATAAATAAAATGTAGGGCACAGGAGGGAGAAATGGCTGATGATGCTGGAATTGCAGGGTGATCTTGAGGAGTGTTGTGAGCCAAACTAAAATGTGAGGAAAACTGTTGTTTGGAGAGTTTTTAGGGAGAATACTGGTAAATCTGTGCACTCAGATTTTTCTGGAAGCAGGAGGTAAGGCTCTGACTTGGGTGGCAAGGGGAGAAAGGTAGGTGGCAAGATGCTATAGGGACGAGTTGCACTAGCCTGATGCTGTGCTGCTTACTAACCTTGCAACCCCAGGGAACTTTTTACCTCTCTGAGCTTCGATTTTCTCGTCTGTGTAAAAGGGATGTTATTAGCCCCTAGCTCATAGGGTTATTGCAATGATTAAATGATAATGCATATAAAACATTTAACACGATGCCTGAGACATGGTGAAAACATAATAAGCAAAATAAGAGAAAGACCAGAAGTGCATTCTAAATGAGAGACATTTTACCCACACACTCCCAGCCCTCTTTTTCTTTATTCTTTGTGTTACTTGAAAGTCCTCATGAATTTGTCCTGCTGAGCCCTTCTCCAATAGATTTTTGTTTGTATCCGTAGCAGAGTCTGGAAAATCTAAGCCCTGAGCAACCTCGCAGCTTCCTTGAATGATTACCCCAGGGCCCGTTACCTTCACTGTCTGTAAATCGGGTTAGGCATCCGACCCACTCAGGAGAGGAGCTGGGACAGCTGCAGGCATTAGATGAATTCTCCTGCTAGCACATAATCAAATTTGGTGGAGACGGCAAGCTCTAAGAGTCAAGCTGCTAAACTTTGCTAGAGTGGGAGAAAACTGGGGTGATTGGATTTAAAGCATGGGCCCTGATTGGATATACTAGTAAATGAAGAGTTGAAAAGATCAGCATCATAACCTGAGGGACCTAATGACTGTAGGAATCACTTGCGCATGAAGACATGCTCACCTGGTGCTCCAGGAAGCTCAGACTCACACGTCCGAGCCAGGGCCTGAAGTGATTGTCACAGACCATTGGCTGGAGACAGACCTCAAGGCCGCTTTCACTGGCATTCTCCCTGAGTGTAAATCTGGAACCCTGAGACCAGCTTATCCCACCAGCCTCACATTCCTGCACTTTCAATTGCATCACGAATGTAGACCTTCATCTGTTCTCCCTAAACCCTCGTCTCTGCACTGGTCTGTTCTCTCTCTCCTTGATTTTCCACTGCTTCCTTCTCTATCCAAAACTTTCCTCTTTTTCCTTCGAAGCAACTCTATGCTTAATAATCTCACTTGGATCCTCAGTGTTTTAATCCACTGCTTCCTTTACCTCTTGTCTTAACAAAACTGTGCTTAGTACATGATACTTGACAAAATTTGCTGAATTAAACAGTGACCTAAGGCCGGGCTATCCTGTAGGTCACTACCCCCTTTGTTGCCCTCTCAGGAGCTCCCTGTTCTCTTAGACTCCATGTACAGAGGAATCAAGAGGGGGCAGCTTTCTTCTTCATTCCCTGTGCACCTTCCAGGCCATTGTTTCTCTGTCTTATCACTTATCTTACCCAAAATTTCCTTATAGGAAGGTTTGGAATAGCAACCTGGTTAGAAAGGAGGAGCGCCTAGGTAGCTTATCTTAAAGCTGTTTTTGTTACAAGAAGACTGCTGGCCTTGCGGCTTATTCCTGGCGCTGGGAATAGGAAACTAAGGAATCTGTTGATGGGCCTAACACCCTAGACAGCCTTCGGTGCTACCACTGACCTTCATGTGCAGAGCCCTGTATGTACCTTTGTTGCTTCTGCTGTTCTCTCTATATCCTGTCCAGGTTCTTACCCATCGTAGACTCTGACCCATCGCTTCATCCGCTTTTCTCTAATAGGCAACAATATGTCTTGTTTCTACTACCCCCTCTCCTTCTGACCACTTTCATCTATCCCTTGGACTAATACAGTCATGGTACTTTACTTCTTTCACTCACTCAGAAGGTACCCTGTGACCTCAGGATGATGTTTACGTGTTCTAATATGGTTTATATTGTACCTTTCTAATCTGTCTTCTGCCTTCCTCTTCAGACACATTTCTCATGACTTCCCTTCCTTACTCTTTGTGCTTTAGCCATGATGAATTTCTTGCTGTCCTAAGACTATATTTGTCCCCTCTTACCTCCTGGCCTTTGACACACTGGTGTCTGGAATTCCAGGAGCCCATAATTTATCAAGAGGAACCATCGGGAAGTGTTACAGGTACTGAACTTGGAATCAGATGGAGACAGATTTGAATCCCAGCTCTATCATTTACTTGCTTGAGACCTTAGGGAGCTCTTTAACTTTTATGAACCTCCATGACCACATCTGCAAAGTGTAATGATAATACCCACCTTGACCAAATAGCTATCAGGATTAAATCAGGTCCAGAACGAACCCATACGGAGTATGTCCTGTCCATTCCTTTCTTTTTCTTTTCCCCCAGTCCTTCCTTTCCTTTATTTTTTTCCCCTTCCTTTTGTCTTTTTCCCCTCTCCGTATTCCACTTAATGTTTGGGTGGGAATTATAATATCCAGGGCCACAGAAAAGCAACACAAGCCACTGTGTGTACAGCATCAGTGTCATGAAAACACTGCTCTTCCACAGGAAGCCCCCAGCCTCACCTCCCACCTGGCCATAGACACCAAGGTAGAAACAAGATTCTGCAATAACTAGGGCACGTTATAATGCTCTTGGAGCTCTTCACAGTTTCCTGCAGGCCGCGCTACCTGGGGCCAGCACCATTCTGGTTTTCCTTGGCCTCATGTTGATGCTCCCTCCTCACACTTTCCTCCATATGCCCCTCGGCTTCTCAGCTGAGCGCCAAGCCATCCCAGGTGAACCTTACATCTTCTATCCACAGTGCTGGAAACCCCCAGAAACATGTTTGCCCTTAAGGAGCTTCTGAGCTGATCCTAACGGATAGCACTTAGAAAGCAGGCAATGAAAAGCAAGTTATTATAGAATGGGGAGCTAAACTGGCCTGAAATTTCAATGGGCAATCATGGAAAAGGCGCAGTTTGCGGTGGGTTTTATACGAGTACCAGGATTTGAAGAGACAGAAATGAGATGCCTTCTCTGTAATGTGAATGGTTTGTGTATCATGCAGCGTGGCAGGGTGCAGTGACCCCGTGAGGTGGGTGAATGGAAAGAAGTTATAGGAATTATGACTGGAGCATTTCGCTTTTCTCAGGTGTGGTTAGTGTTCCTTATTGGAGAATGAACATGACTGCTTAGCAAAATTGCCTGTGCAGCATATTTAAAAGCAGAGTTTCCCAAAGTGCTTCTGTGGAACATTAGTCTCATGAAATGTTCTGTAGAAAAATAATAGTAATAATCTAAAGAAGCGTTGAATACTCTTCCCTAGAATATCCACAGTGCACATTCTTTGCAAAGGTCTGAATTAGTCTTGTACAAAGACCTGACTTTCCTAGGAAAAGTAGGCATCCCCTATTTATGTCACTGTAATGTCATACTCTTTATTTCACCTTAAAGCATTTTTAGAGTCCATAACTATACTGTATACTTATTTTTAATATTTTATTGACTGCTTCCTGCTACAGCATATGCTCCATGAGGCCAACACTTTGGTTATCTTATTTAGCATTACACATCGAGAATCGAGTGTGAGGCCTGGGCATATAATAGGTTCTCAAAATAAGAATAAACCATGAATAAAACTTGTTAAGCTTTGTTTAACGTTGCATTGTCCAAGCAGCTGATAAAGGTAGGGCTTGAGTTTGAACAGTGCTGCCAGATTCCCGTCTCTTTTTGGCCGTAGGTGGTGTGTGCGGTTGTCCCTGGCCACCACCTTGGGTTCTTGACGTTACAGTTTTTCTTGGGCATTTATTCCTGTTTATTACCTTTTGAAGCTTGAACAATTATCTTATATGCCCACATTGCTTTCTTTGTATCTTTCAGGCAAAGGCTGCCACCTAAAAACGTTTACTACTACCGCTGCCCGGACCATAGGAAGAACTATGTGATGTCCTTTGCTTTTTGTTTTGACCGAGAAGAAGATATTTACCAATTTGCTTACTGCTATCCTTATACATACACCCGTTTTCAGCATTACCTTGACAGCCTGCAGAAGAGAAACATGGATTATTTCTTTCGGGAGCAGCTGGGTCAGAGCGTGGTAAGGCCTTTTGGAAACAGGAGACCACTGGGGAGAGCTGGCAGTGGGTTTTCTTAGAATGCAAATAAGGATACTGGTGCTCTGTAGACGATACGCTTTGGAACTTTTAAAAAAACTATTGTTTTTAATGTGTGATTCTTTGCTACAATATGGCCACCAGGAAGTCACAGAATAATATATAAGACAGATGTTTATCCTTCTGAATGAAGCCGATAAACCTCTCCAACAAAATACAAAAATTCTGCTAATTTCCAGAAACTCTGAGAGAAAAGAAAAAGGCTTCTACTGGGTGTCACAAAAGGCATGAAAGCATTTTATGAGTGTGAGCCTTTGAGATGAGGAATGGATTTGTTTTTTAGTGAATTTAGCTTGCTCACAGCGCAGGTTAGCAAGTGGTATGCAGTTTGGATGTGCTGGCCGCAGTGTATTTGGACTCTGCCATCCATCGGTTCCCCACCCCTCTTCCTTACCCTGGTTTAGTTTTCTGGGTCTGGATATTTCAGTCTTACACTCTGTATCAGTTTTCTGTTGCTGATGTAACTAATTGCCATAAACTTGGTGGCTTAAAATAACACAAATTTATTATAGTAAATTGCAGTTCAGGAGAAGTCTGAACTTGGTCTCACTGGCCTAAAATCAGGATACCAGCAGGTCTGCATTCCTTCTGCAGGCTTTTGGGGAGAATTCATTTCCCTGCCTTTTCTAGCTTCTGGAGGCTGCTTGCATTCCTTGGCTTGTGGTTCCTTTCCATCTTCAAAGCCAGCAGTGGCTGCTTGAGTCTTTCTCAAGCTACATCACTGTGACAGCGAATCTCCTGCCTCCATCTTTCCTTGTAAGGACCCATATGATTTTGTTGGACTCACCCAGATAATCCAGGATAATATTTCCATCTCAAGATCTTTAACTTAATCATGTCTGTGAAGTCTCTTTTGTCATGTAAGGTAACACATTGACAGGTTCTAGGGATTAAGACTTGGATATTTTGAGAGGGGGCTACATTGTTCTGTCTACCAGACCTTTCTCCCCTTCCTTTCCTCTTTCCTTCCCTGCACAACCCAGGGTCAGAAATTGTCCTTCACATTGTCTGCATAGGTTTTGTTCTCTGTAGTCAGCCATTCTTTGATTACTACTAAAGAATAAGCAGATGATAGTTTGGTTTTATGTTTCACGCTTCAGGAAGTGTGGATTATACCTCTGAATTGAGCACTTTATTGATCCTAAGTGAAGATACTGGTGGAATTGGCAGAAAATACTGTACTTGATTTTCTGATATGTGTTGGTGGAAAAATAAACTCTGCCTAGTGACTATAGGTTCCACCTAGAAATGGATCCCAGTTCTAAATAAAAGTTTTCAAGACTAGACTCCTTGAAAGACATAGTCTGGTCCAGGGTACCCCCCAAAATAGAGAAATAAAGAGGACTTGTGCATGGCTTAGGTACATGAGAGCCAAATCTTATCTCAAAAGCTCGTGGTCATGATGCTATTCGTATAGTATGAGATTCTCTATGCACTAAGTTTTGCTAAATATCTTTCCTCTACCTCTAAGCCCCTTCTTAATAGTGCTTCCGGTGGGTACCATGTGTATCTAGTGCCTACGTATTTTGAACTGAAAATTGGGACACATGTTGTATCAGCCAGAATGCTAGCAGGAAACAGATGGCAGCCTCACATTAGGATCATTTCAGGAGAGCTTAATAAATAGGCTGTTTACAAGGTGTGGGCAGTGTGTAGGGAAACCACAGGGTATAGTGCAGTTCCCTGGGGCTAGTAACAGCTCAAAGGGTGTGAAGGGAAGGAATGGTTACCAGAACCCAATAGTAAGGACTCATGTAGTCGGCCACCTTGAGTGGAACAATGACCTTCAATTGAGGAACAAAGTCAGCCTGAAATGACCCCACCAGGCGGGAGCTGAGAAAAATAAATACATAGAGCTCATTCTCTTACTTCCCTCTGATCTCTTTCTAGGGGTCCTTATTGACCAACCCAACCAGAAATGAGAGGGCAGGAGAGCCCATTGATGTAACCCATACAGATAAACCTCCCTGGGCAAAGAAAACAGTGGATATGGGCAGAGAGTGGGTATAGAGAAGCAAATAGAATATATTAAGAACAAATGGTCTGTTCAACAATATATTACTGGAAGCAGTGAGATTATTTGAGATGGGATTGTCTGAGATGAATGTTTACCAGACATATGAATTGTGATACGAATTAAGAGAGTGAGAAGTTCATGTAATACCCATGACTTTTAAGTGCAGGGTCTATACATTTCATTCCTGTGTCCACCATAGCTCTCTCTTAGATTTATGCCAGGCAGAATGTTGTGCACATTGAGTGGCTATTGAGTGAATTGTTGAATGAATAAATGAATGACTTAAGATATATGTCTAGAGGCAAAGTGAAGAGCTGAGAGCATCAAAGAGATGATAGGAGGGATAATAGAATAAATTAAGTTGCCAATAATTTTCAAATACAAATCTAAAATAACAGCAGCACAAATAAGATAGTTTATTTTTCTTCCATATAGAAATCTAGATGTATCAATCCAGAGCTGATATTATGGCTCTGCTCCTTGAAAGTCTTAGGGTGTCAGGTTCTTCCCACTTTCTGCTCTGCCTTCTCTGAGTCACTGCCCTCAATCTCATGATTCAATGTGGAATTGTATAATCACATCCATGTTCCAGGCAGCAGGATGAAGGGGGTAGGGGAAGAAAAGAGAAGATGCAGTTACGTTACACTTTTGCTTTTACCCACAGTTAACTAAAGGGAGGATGAGAAGTGAAGTTTTCATTCTGGGTGACCATGTTTCCAGATAAAACTTGGTAGTCCTACACATGTGAGACAGGATTGCTATTGAAGGACAGCCTTAGTCTCTGCTGCAGGAGACCTGAATTCTGCTTCCAGCTCTAACACCAAACTATCACATGACCTTGAATGTTACTTCCCTTATCTGGGCATGAGATTTTCATCTATAAAATGAGAAAGTTGGACTTGAATAATGATTTTCAATCTGTTGAGGAATTCCTCAGTTAGAAAAAAAAAAACACACAAATTGAGATCCCTGACCTCCGCCAGACCCTGTGAGAGGCACGGTGGGGATGTACAATGAAGTATACAAGTCTTGGTGTACTTCCAGAAATGCATCCGACACCTGAGGAAATAAGACATCTTTAAACAGATATATTTTAAAAAGTATATAATTAAGGATATCAGAAGTTGTTTAAAGAGTAGTGATTGGACTAAAAAACCATGGAGAAGATGAGCTTTAAGATGAGTCTTGAAAGGTGGGTAGGATTACTGGATACAGTAGGAAGCAGCCGGAGTCATTGCATGGAGGTAGTTGGTTAGAAGTCTGATTTGACTGGAATAGGGAACCTTCCTACTAGAAGATTAGGATAGACGGGAAGGTTGGGGCCCAACTCTGGAAAGCCTTGATTGTCATATTAAGGAATTGTGCCTGTATCCTTCAATCAGATTCAACACAGAGGTGCCGGGCCAGGCACCTTATATATACTGTTTTTTCTTATTTCTCACAATAGTTTTATGGAGTAGGCAGGATTATTCCATTTTGGGGATTAAATAATCTAAGGCTAAAAAGTTAAGTTACCTGGCTAACGTCACAAGGCTACTTCATGTCAGGGCCAAGATTTAAACCCATGGCCTCTAACACCGCATCCTGGTGCTTAGATAGACCCACTGCTGCTTTCTATGTTGGACCTACCGAGACCCACAATATATATTTGAGAAAAGGATTACTTTATTCAAAGCAGCATCTTAAGGTAATACGGTTAATGGAAGTGCTGGCTAAACTAGATTAGGGAAGCTCTGAGGGTTGGCTCCATCCCCTTGTTCTGGGCCTCAAAACAGACAACAGAGGTTTTAAAGCTTTCTGGAATACTTTCGCAGATGGGACAATTCTTGGTTACCAGGGCGTTTGATGTGGTTTGTGTCTGCCGGTACCACTGTAATTAGTTAATCCTATTCCAATTTGTAGGGAGGATAATTGCAAGTGGGAAGGCTAAACATTTCAACATCCAGGTCTCAGGGAGACCCAGCAATAAGCAAGATTTTGAATTTCCAGCGCTGTAACTATTAATCACCAAGGGCATTGCGACGGCTGCTGCTAATTATATGCTAATGGCACTTTATTTTGTTATTCACCAGTGGCCCCTTCTAACCCCACCAAACAAAATCCCTTTTTACATGCATCAAAGCCACAATCTGACATTTAAGATAAATGCATATTTTTTCTTGTTGTTTTAACAACTTTGCTGAAGTGTAATTTACATACCATAAAATTTACTCATTGTATGGTATAATTCTATGATTTTTAGTAAATAGATAGTTTTACAACTATCTCTGTGCTTCAGTTTTAGAGCATTTTTATCATCTGAAAAAGTTCCCTTGGTAATCCTCACTTCCACTCCCTGCAACGACTGATCTGCTATCGGCGACTATAAATATGTCATTTCTGAACATTTCATATGAATGGAATTATGTATTGTGTAGTCACAGTTTGCACTTAGCATCTTTCACTTAGCATATTTTTTAGATCCATCCGTGTTGTAATTTGTATCAGTAGTTCATTCATTTTTAAAGCTGAATAGTATTCTATTGAAAAGATATACCACATTTTGTTTATCTGTTCTCCAGTTGATGGACATTGGGCTCGTTTCCACTTTGAAGCTTTTATGAATAATCCTGTTAGGAACATTCATGTACATACCTTTGAGTGTACTTGTGATTACTTTTCTCTTAGGTAGATTTCTAGGAGTGGAATCATGGCATCATATAGTAAATTAATGTTCAACTTAAAAAAAAAAAACAGCTGTCAAATTGTTTTCCAAGTTAGTAATGCCATTTTACATGCCTACCAGTAGTGCAGGAGGTCATAGTTTCTCCATGTGCTTACTTGGAATTATCTATATATTTTTATTATGGCCATTTTAGTGGGTGTGTAGTCGTATCTCATTGTAATTTTAATTTGTATTGCCCTAAT